AGTCTGATTAGGATTTTGTTTGGAGGCCATAGCAAATCAGCTTGATATGTATATTCATTACCAGCCAGCTTTGGGAATAATACAGGTTATTTAGCATGCATACATCTGTGACAATATCTCATGCATTGTTAAGAATGTTGCACTACTGTCATGATTACAGCAAAACAAATTAGTGAACATTTTACTGTAGGGCAGTGTTCATCACACCAACATAAGCGCATCATAACAATTGGCTCAAACCTACTTAACTATTTATGAAAGGTGTGTCAGGAGACATTGATTTATTCCAGCATTGGGCTGTGTAATGACACTTTTATGGGTGAAATAACGTAGTACATTATATCAACTGACGTAGTAGCCTAGTGTATATCACAGTGATGTGACATACACTATATAGCCAACAATATGTGGACACCTGACCATCACACCTATATGAGCTTGTGGGACATCTTTTTCCAAAACAGTGGGCATTAATATGGAGTTGGGCCCCCTTTATGGCTATAACAGTCCCCACTCTTTTGAGAAGGCTTTCCACAGGAATGTGTCTCTGGAAATTCGTGCCCATTCACTCAAAAGAGCATTTGTGAGGTACTGATGTTGGGTGAGAAGGCCTGGCTCACAATCAGTGTTCCAATTCATTCCAAAGGTGTTCAGTGGGGTTCAGGTCTGGACTCTGTGCAGGCCACTGGAGTTCCTCCACACCAAACCCGCCAAACCATGTCTTTATGGGCCTTGCTTTGTGTACAGGGGCTTAATTATGCTGTAACAGGAAAGGAACTTCCTCAAACTGTTGCCACTAAGTTGGAAGTGTATACTTGTCTAAAACATTACCCTTCACTGGAACTAAGGGGCCGAGCCCAAACCCTAAAAAACAGCCCCAGACCATTATTCCTCCTCTACCAAACATTACTGTTGATACTATGGATTTCAGTAGGTAGTGTTCTTCTGGCATCCACCAAACGCAGATTCATCCAATCAGACTGCCAGATAGTGAAGTGTGATTCGTTACTCTAGAGAACATGTTTCCACGGCTCCAGAGTCCAGTGGTGGTGTACTTTACACCACTCCAGCCATTGCTTGGCACTGTGCATAGTGATCTTAGGCTTGTGTGCAGTTACTCAGCCATGGAAACCCATTTCATATAGCTGCCGACACACAGTTTTTGTGTTGATGTTGCTTCCAGAGAGAGAAATTGGCATTCAATGACAGTGCCATGTTTAAAGTTACTGAGCTCTTCAGCATGACCCATTCTATTGCATTGTTTGTCTATTGTTTGTTTCACGGCTATGTGCTTGATTATATACACCTGTCAGCAATGGATGTGGCTAAAACATCTGAACTCAATATTTGGCAGGGGTGTTCACATACTCTTAACCATATAGTGTAGCTTAAATGTTATAAATGGTAAAAAAGGTAAGAGAAAAAAATTCTTGGTTTTGCATAAAGGTGTCTATCAATGACAAGAAAAAAAATCAATTATATGGTTATGAATTCCTAATCAAAAAGGCCTCGACTAATCCTTGCTCTCCAACCAACCCTATTTCTAATCATATATTTTAAAAAGTTCCACAACACGGCTCCGTCTCTTCATCCGCTTTAATGAAAGGAAATTGAAAACTGTCAGAGGGAGCGCCACCCAAAATCTAGGTCAGCGCATTTGCTATGCAGGAATAATTACCTTCCGCGAAAGTGTTTGCTTTAATCTGCTGTTATTGCCTGGCTATACGAGTGGATTACAGCAACCTCCTTCTTTTTTTGCCTGTATGCACACACACACACACACACACACACACACACACACAGAACCCAGTTCCATGGCCTGTCTGCCTGCATCAGAGACCTGTGGAAGTAGGACGTGTTTGTTTTCACATGCGCTTATTTAGATGGAGGTTAGAGAAAAGGCCTGGCCCTCAAACCCAAACAGGCATTATGAAAAATCAGCTAAGCTTTTCACAGAGTCCCTCATAAACATAGCACCATCCTCTCTCATGTATATTTCACAAGTTTTTGATGTGAGGGGTTACAGGCAATAAATTAGTCATTAGACGCCATGGATTGAAAAAAGTTAGCTTGTTGTGTATGCGTGTGTGTGTCTGGTGAGTGCACCTTTTTCTTTGAAGAGAGAGTGTATTTAGCTCTTTGTGGGGACCAAATGCCCCCAAAGTGATAAACACTAACATTTAAAGGTTGTGGGGACAATGCTAAGAAGGTGCTTTTTTGTTTGCTTTTTCAATGCTTTTGTTTGAAAATATGAAGAGTTCAAAGATGTCTTTGCTAGGAGTGGGTTAGATGTGGGCATAGCAGGAATACAGTTTGTGTGTGTGTTGACAGTGAGCGAAGGTAGAAATAGAAAGTGGGTGGAAGAACAGGTAGGTGTTTCTAATAAAGTGACCAGTGAGTGGAAGTAAATCATAGGTGTTTCTGACAAAGTGGTCAATTGGTGGAAGACGATGGTAGGTGTTCTCTGATAAAGTGGCCAGAGAGAGGAGGTAGAACGTAGCCAGTGGCCAGTTAGTGGAAGTAAATGGTATTTGTTTCTAATAAAGTGGCCAGTGAGTGGAGGTAAAAGGTAGATGTTTCTAATAATGTGACCAGTTAGTGAAAGTAAATGGTAGGTGTTTCTAATCAAGTGGCCAGTGAGCAGTAGGAGAAGGTAGATGTTTCTAATAACGTGACCAGTTAGTGAAAGTAAATGGTATTTGTTTCTACTAAAGTGGCCAGTGAGTGAAAGTAAATGGTAGGTGTTTCTAATCAAGTGGCCAGTGAGCAGTAGGAGAAGGTAGATGTTTCTAATAACGTGACCAGTTAGTGAAAGTAGATGATAGGTGTTTCTAAAAAGGGTGCAGTGAGTGGAAGTAAAAGGTAGATGTTTCTAATAAAGTGGCCAATGAGTAGAGGTGAAAGGTAGACGTTTCTAATAAAGTGGCCAGGTAGTGAAAGTAGATGGTAGGTGTTTCTGATAAAATGGCCAGTAAGGGCTTTGAAATCTAAGGTAGATTTGTAAGGCAGTTGTCCTCTCTGATTATCCTATGGAGCCACATATTCTATAGGAATACCTACCTATCTTGAAAATACAAATGCAAATATACTGTACAATACAAAGTGATGCATGCAGAGCCTCCTTTGTTAATCTATGCAGTCTTTTATACTACATGGAGTGTAGTTTCACCTCCATTCTTTTTATTTATTGAATTTTTCATTTTGTTGTTTACTACTATAAAAGTGTGTACATAATAGTTTGTTTGTGGTGCATTGTGGTTGATTAAATAACCCTTTGACATAGGGCCCGGGCCAAATGACCTCATAATCATAGCAAAACATGAGCACACTTTTTTTGTTGAAGTTTTGCTGGTTGCCATGGAGAGAAAAAAATAGGTTTCTGATTGTTTAAAAAAAGAGGTTGCCAATGAAAGTATTACAAAATATAATGCTGTCATGGACAAAGACGCTGGCTTCTTGCGTGCTCATTCTTTTTTTTTTCCTTACCTTAAATAAATAGAAGAGTGTGACAAATCTGACTGACAAAGATGCTCTTTAGATCAGCATCAATTTTTCGTGGATGCTATCACCATGGCAACGTTTTCACGGCTGCATGCCGCCATCAGTTGCACAAAAAGGCAAAGGTAACGTGTAAAAACAGCATTGCCCTTCTCCACTGTTTCTCCTGACAGTGAGAACGTAGCTGAGCTGTGCTAGTTTCCACAGGCTACTTACCTGGCTAATGAGAACTAATAACTGACTGTGGTGAAGAAAACGAAGTTCAATGCTGTGAAACAGTGATAGGAACATTGCTATCTTTGTCCATCTGCTCGTTGGTTGGCGGTCATCATTTCACCACAGCGATGTCTCTAGGCCTTAATGCTTGCTATCAGGCCTCTATAAAATAAAATTCTGGCTATGCCACTGGCAGGCGAGTGCATGTCTTTGTTTATGTGTGTATATTAGAGCCCTGTTGATATATTGTTTGATTGATCCCTTACAAAAAAGTCACTTGTGAAAAAAACACATGGTTTTTGCACACTCACTCACATGATAACGACATGTGGTCACATGTGAAAACATGCTCACATGTGAAAAAGCATGCGTATTTGTAAACACTAGTGGATTTTACACACTTAACGTGAAATACATGTGGCTTTTCTATAAGAGATGAAACTGATTGATTAAGGTCCTGTGGATTTATTGGTACTGATAAAGCACAGATATTTATAAATCCCACTGTTAAAGCATCAACATTTAGAAGTAACTTGTTTTATATGGTGATGGACAGACCCCTGTGGGAGAATGGCTGATTTCAGAGGATTTTAATACAGTCGTATGCACAAGCTTGAACACCCCTGGTCAAATGACATGTTTTGTTGATTTTCCAAGTGGAAATACACATCTTCTACAGCAGGGGTGTCCAATCTTACCCGCAGAGGGCCAGGGTGACTGCAGATTTTCACTCCAACAAAGCAGGAGGTCACCTGATGAAATGTTTGAAGACTAAGACCAACTGATTAGACAAGTAGAATCAGGTGTGCTTCAGCTTATTTGGAGTGAAAACCTGCAGCTACACCGGCCCTTTGTGGATAAGATTGAACACCCCTGGAAGAAAATGGCCTGCGCGAAACTTATGACCTGTTTAATATTTTAGTTTTTTTCCCAATATATTAAACTCAGCACATAAAAAATGCCAGATTTAAGTTTGTTTCCCATAGAGCAGTGGTTTCCACCCTAGTCCTTGAGAGCTACCTTCCTGCAGAGCCTAGATTCTAGAGCCTTCCTGCAATTTACCACACCTGCCCCAGCTAATCAACCCCTTCCCCAGTCCCTGATTGGCTGGGTCAGACATATGAGAGCTGAATGAAGGGCCAGGGCAGCTTATTGAGTATAGGTTGGAAATAAACTCTACAGGAATGTAGCTCTCCAGGACCACAGCTGGACACCACTGCTGTAGAGGATGTATTACCTTATTTTCACTTAGAAAATCAACAAAACATGTCATTTGACCAGGGGTGTTTAAACTTTTGCATAAGACTGTTGTTTCATGCTCTTATTTCAGTCCATTATCAGAATTGTGAGCTGCTTAAACTGTGTCAGTGAGAAATTTCCATATCAGTCGGGCCCTTGTGTACATGTGTGTGTGTGTGTGTTTTTGTATGTACGCTCCCTCGCTAACCTAAACAATTATCTCTCCTACCAAAGCAGATGCTGAGCGCGGTACCTGAGGGCCACAGCGTGTCTGCAGCATGTGAAAAACCCCACACTGCAGAATATGGCGGTGCACCACAAGCCCCCAGTGGAGGGGTGCTTTTCAGAGCAGAATGTGTGTGTGTGTGTGTGTGTGTGTAAGAAGGAGGAGTCATGAGGACAGAGCTCCACAGGGCCACAGCGGCAGTTTCTAATGGAATCACAGCTGCAGTGGCAGGAGCCCTCAGTGCCTCTGCCTGCGACTCAATTATACATCCAACCATGCAGCACTGAGGCTTCCTCCAGCCCGCCATACAAATAATTCATCCTCAACTTCTCTCTACTGGAAATACCCTGCCTGACAAAAAGCACAGACATTTTTTTAATGCTTTTTGAATTCTAAGACACCAGCATGCCGTTCCTAATAAAGTTCTAAATGTGGAGCCAGGAATAACTATGCTATTCTAGGGCTGGAGGAAGCCTCAGTGCTGCATGGCGTTTTGTTTTCTCCATATCTAATATTGTGTAGTAATTGTAAAACCTTATCCTCTATTCATGTTGCTCTTGTTGTGTTGTTGTTTCGCCATACTTTGACAACCAGAGGTGGAGGGACCCTTTTGAGGCTTGGCTCCTCTCAAGGAGTTTTTCCTTTCCTTGCAACTGTCACCTTGGCTTGGGGCTGGGACCCGGATTTTCCACAAAGCTGCTTTGTGACAAGGTCTGTTGTAAAAAGCACTATATAAATGAACTTTGCCTTAACTATGATTACATGAGAGTATGAAATAAAGTTGTCTTCTCACAGTCAAAGTGCAGTAAATTGGGCATGATATTCTATACTACTGAACCTCTTGAACTCTAGACTTATTAATCTTGTAGTAGTTACTGAGTGATACATACAGAGCTTTGCTGGTTGCATCCCTTCCTATTAAAAATAATGTGTGATCCCGACTTACTAAGGTGAAGGAACGCGATCCGAATGTGTGACCATGAGCTAGTAAGGCATAGAAATGACTTAATTAAACTGTGGCCACAACTTAGTAAGGCATGAGAACAAGTTAATTCAACTGTGGCCATGACTGAGTAAAGCATAGGAGCATTATAGGAGATAATAAGGTTTGGATAATTAAGTCAATATGGCTTCCTAAGGTGAAGCATGGGAACAAGATAATTAAGCTATAGCCACGGCTTAATAAGGCATATGAACAAGATACTGAAGCTGTGGCCATGACTTAGTAAGGCATAGGAATGAGATAATAAAACAGTGGCCATGACTTGGTAAGTCATGGGTATTTGATAATGAAGTAGTGATAGTTAAGTCATGGTCATGATTTAGTAAGGCATAGTAACAAGATAATTAAGCCATGGCCACAACTTAGTAAGGCATGGGAACGAGATAATTAAACTGTGACCACAACTTAGTAAGCCATGGGAATGAGATAATTTAGCTGTAATTTGGCTAAGATGTGAGACGAGTAACTTGTGGCAATGAATTAGTAAGGCATGGGAATTAAATGATAAAACAGTAGCCATGACTTAGTAAAGCATGGAAACAAGATAATTAAGTTGTGTCTACAACTTAGTAAGGGATGGGAACAAGATAACTAACTGACCAAGGCATGGAAATGAGATAATGAAGCAGTGGCCACGACCTAGCAAGGCAATAGGAATGAGAGAATCATGTCATTAAAACAAGGCCACTTAGTAAGACATTTGAATAAGATAATTCATCCATGGGTATGGCTTAGTAAGGCATGGGAACGAGATAATTAAGTTGTGGTCATGGCTTAGTAAGTCACAGGAACAAGATAAATGAGCTGTGGCCATGGCTTAGTAAGACATTGGAACAAGATAGTTATGTTGTGGACATGGCTTAGGAAGGCATTGGAATGAAATAATTAAGCCATTGCCACATAGCAGAGCTATGATATGTCTTAAGCTTAAGAAATAATTTTTTTAAGACTTATCAACTTGGTAAATGCTATGAATATGAAGTCATATAGTTAAGAGAGCAAGGAACTGAGTTGTAGGCCCATACACAGGCTATAAGAGTTTAAAGGGTTAATACATTCTCATGTTTTCATTCATCAATTTTCTATCGCTACAATACCCAACACGCATTCTATGAATCCAACATACAACCACTGGGAATCCCTGTGGTGTCAACCAATTATGACTGCTAGCTTAGCCACTGAACTGTGGGCTCTAAGGTAAGCAAACTTTTACATAAGTGTAACACTGACTGTGGTCATCAAATTTCTTTATCAAAGATGTTATTAAATCAAAGAACGCCTGCAGGGTGCAGTGTACCTGGATGTGGAACAACAACAAGCTAAACTAAGGTAAGTAATCTTCTTAGCCTGGTAGCTACCTTGCGCACTTTACCTTTTAGCTTGTTGTTTTCCTTATGATTTGAAGACATTTGCTTGCAAGATATTCAGCTTCCTAACGGTAATGTTAGCTACATATATGTATATATGAATGTGTTTTAGTATTTTTTGCATATATATATATATATATATATATATATATATATATATGCAAAAAACAATATGTTTACATATTTTTTTTGACAGTGTGAAACAGATGTGATTTTTTTGTAAGGATGAACAGAAAACTCTCTTGAGGAAAATAAATTACAACTAAATCTTTTTCCACTGTATTGTGTTCTGACTGATATTAGGGATAACTACACTATTATGCTTATTACTCTTAATAGGCTGAATAAGAACAGACTAAGCCTTTTGGATTTCCTGCTAAGACAGTTTTCCTTTGCAGAATCCAGTTAACCCACAGCACTGGTCAGAAAGGGTGAAAAGAGGATTGCAGAGGGCCAATTTGACAGGGACTGGAAATAAAACACTGACTTTGTGAGAAGAAAACAAAAACAAGGCTGGCGCTGATAGCAGCAAATCCCCGCAGAGCTGGAATTGAACATGGCACCTCCCCGTGCTCGAGCCAGGCTGGTGCTTGGCAACGTCTCGTCTGTGCAACAAGCCTGAAGAATCAGGTTAACATTCATCCGCATAGGAACAAATCCAGACCTTCAAAGTGGCTTTAATAAACTGGAGGCTGTTTGTGCTGCTGTGAGAGGCAAAGACAATGATTGTGCTCACATGGAACTGCTATTCAGGAGACAGATTGATTCAAAATTACTGCACCTTGATTCAGCTCTATGCACTATATTCTTACATTTTGTTATGTACTTGATTGATCCTACAAGGGAAATTTGTCATTTTGCTTCCTAACTATGCCCAGTCTGGGAGCAGCCAGGTATACCCAGTCATATCCTGGGATTTTGAACCTAGGACCTTCTGGTTCCTGGCTCACCTATACCTACCATAAATCTGGGCAAATTAGGACATAAATACACCTCCACAATAATCAACAGGCATATATTTGTGGAGATTATGGAGGAAATTTGAGTGACTGAAGCTGCCATATTAGATGAGGTAAAGCTAAAGCTAATGCTGAAGCTAGTTGGTGCATCAATTTACTGAGGAAGACTTTTCATCTTGTACATGTGGTCTTTTAGCATATGTAAATCAAACAATAAAAAAAATTTTCATGTGCTATTCCATGAATATTTATCTTCACAAACTTAAGCACTGTACAGTCCTGTTGTAATTTATTTAGCTAACCGTCAACAGCTAAGTTAAGAACAGCTAACTTAGCTAGCTAACAATACTTAACATTGTTCTGTTCCTCAGAACTAGCATAAGTCGGTCTGCAAATAGTTTTGTCACTGAGCTAAGTGTCTTATATACAAAATTTTATCAGCTTAAGGAATAAAACAACACTTTAATAGCTTCAGAAATGAAAACAACAGCACTCTTCTAGATGGATAGCATGTGTCTGAAATAAACTAGCTTTACAAGTTCAGTCACTGGTGTATTTACTGCTGCTGACATTCTCACTGCAGGTTTGTTACGTTTTTCTATTGCTGGACAGAGGACATTCAGCTTAGGGACAGCTGTGATTGGCTGAGAGATGTATCAGTCAGTATTTTTTAGTCACACAGCTGAGTGTGCTGAGTGGAAATAACCAAAGGAAAATCTTCAGGGCTTTCTAGGCCTTCACAGAAAGCTTAACAATTTCTGTCAACTCTTAAACATTCTTAAAACGCCCAGTGGAATACTGGCCAATTAGGAATTGCATAACAAATAACAAAGTGATCAATCACATTATGCTTTGGAAAAAACATCTGTAAGTACTAAATATGTCAGTGACTGTGGATCCAAGTCGCAGTCTAATCAGTGGGTTGTTAGAAATGGAAGCGGTGTCAGTTCTGTACCAGAGCTCTGAAAGAGTGACTCTGAAATTGTAACCAGATAAAATACACAATACTCTGTCTGTCACAAGCTTCAAGTAAAAAATAGAATGTCTTTTAGAAGCTTTAATTGTCTGTATTTAATCAACAACTGATAAATAACAGCCGAAAAATGTTCATGCCTTAGTGCTAACAAACTACTAGAATCCCATAGGGATGCTAACAGAAAGTAGCATTTTTGTAGAGGTGGGTTTTTTCCTTATGTTTTGACTGAGTTTTGACCTTTATGGCTCGAATTGAAGGCCTATGGCAGTCTGTGGGCTGCTGAGTGCAAACGGTGTGCAACAATTCACACTTCATTAATCAGTGGTTGTAGTTTATCATCCATGTACTAACAGTACACTATATAATATTTTGCTCATTTTCCTGTGTCGTGCACCAAAACTGGCTAGTACACTATGGAAGTAGTGTATTTGAGACACAGAGACTGGGCTTTGCTCAGAGTTGGAATGGACGGTATTCATGTAATGGTTTCATCTGCTGAGTCACAAGCTGGACTGTAATGTGTGTAAGGCCTTTGTGATGCAGTAGAGGTGAAGGGTCTTTGGAAATAAACTGACCTCATCTACATTATGTCTCTCATTCACCCTGTGATTCACATGCTGATCAGCATAAAGAGAAACAGGACGATGAAAAGCATAGTTTATCTGCCACGTCAGGTGTGTGTGATCAACAAAAAGAGACACAAATGTTATTTTGATTTTCTTTGTGGGCTTTTGGAGCGAGCAGTCTTTCTGTTAAAAATAAAATGAAGCAATATTGTATTCTTCTACTTGAAAGACCACCTAGAGGCCTTCAGTTTGGGCCGTAAATGTGAAATTTTGGTCAAAAAACAAGAAAAAAACATCCCCATGACGATGCTAATTTCTGCTAGCGCCCATACAGGAATTCTAGTAGTGTGTTTGTGCTAGGCTAATTTCTTGCCAAATTAAATACAATTACTTGAAACTTGTATAAAACATCCACATGTTTTAGTTTGAAACTTGTAACAGACATTAATATACAGTCATATGCAAATGTTTGGCAAATTTTATATTTTATATTTTATTTTTTCAATATGTTCTCACAAAAATTTGCAGAACAATACTTACATATTTACGTTTAATCCCTATGGAGGACGTGTTATCTTTCACTGTTATTTTTACTGAGAAAATCAACAAAACGTGTAATTTTATGTTCTGTATATTTTATCTTGTAGTTTTGCAGTGACTCCTTTAGTAAAGATCCCTAGCATTGAGTTGCCGCTGCTATTTTCCATTTGATTAGAGTTCCATTCGTAGACGTATCTAGGAGTTTTACTCATGAAATTGGTTCCACCCATTGTAGATCAAAACATAATTGCTTGATTCCTTTGTCTCTTCCTAATTATGTTGGTAGTTAATCTAACAAGTTAGGCTTTCAGTTCAGCTCCTGAAGTCCTGACCAATGGGAGAGCTCGCTTGGCTGCCTCATGGCACAGAGAACAATGTTCCTAATTGGACAGTTTTCAGTTGGGCAAAGTTAACAATGAAATAAGAGTTTTACAATAATACTTGCAGATTTTAAGTCTGATGATTATATTAAATAAAAATGAAGTAAAAATTACAGACTTGTATTTTTTAGTTCCCATGAATCATAAGGCCTTCCCTGACAGCCTAGAAGGCCCTGAAGGTTTCCCACTGAATAAATTCATGCAGTACTTCTTCAGTAAAGTTTTATTGAAGTTGAGAGGTATATTACACTACGTCTGCTTTTGGGAATCTTAGTAATAGTTATTGACCATGGCTTTAACTCCTTAAGAGGCCTTTTATAACCTAAGAACAGCTCAACCAGTTTGCACTGAAGTGCCTGTAGTTACTGAATAATAGGCTTAGTGTGTAATAAGCCTGGGAGTTTAAGGGGTTAACATAATTTATCATAAGTATTGATTATTCAAACCACATGTCAGATGATAACTACAAATAATCCTAGGCTTCGTTGAAAAGAGGCTTGATAAGCTTTAAATGAAAATATTGACAGACAAAATCCATATTTATAATACCGTTAATTGCATTTTCTGTATTATAGGTGTTTTCCTAAACACTTACTGCCCAGATAACTATCTTTTTAAATCAAACTTTTCTCAAATGTTTTCACAATACTGCATATTGAAATCTTTATTGACCCAAAAGTGTTTTTTTCTTTATCTTCTTCTTCTTATTATAAGTATTATATGGTTACCACAAAAGAGAAGAGGAAAAACAATGAATTAAAAACAAGTCATGGTAAAAAGCATACAGTAGTCTGCTAGGACTGAACTGCCCCACATCACTGTGCTTCACATATCAGGTGATTCTGTAATCATTATTAGTCTGTGTGCTGCTCATAAATGATCACAGGCAATTGAGGGCTGTGTCTGCCCCTTTTCTCTCTTCTGCTCACTATTGCATTGTTCCAGCACCATCAAAGCATGTGATAATGTACCACCAGCCTATTTAGATGGACAGACAGAGAAAGAGAAAGAGAGAGAGCCTTTGTCAGCAAGGACAAGCTCTCAGATTTCTGTCTCTCATCTGCTGCTGCTGCCACTTACTTCAGCCAGGCAAACCTCAGCTAGACCCCTTAATGTGCATCACTTTGTGTAGAGGCTGATGGTCCTCTGGGAACCTTATGTGTGTGTGTGTGTGTGTGTGTGTGTGTGTGTGTGTGTTTTCATACAATTTCAGGACAAAGATGTCCTGCCTTTGTAGGAAACACAGACAAAATCAGAAAATAAAAAAATGTCTGAATTAACATATTGCTCCTGACATTGTGAAAAGCTTTTTACCAAAGCTGCATTGTATTTTTTTTTTGTGCTAAACTTTAGAATTAGGATTAAGTTTAGGATCTTACTAATACATATAGGCCTATATAATACATAGAAAACATTTTATTATCATATATTTATAGTTCAAAAATCAGGGACCAGTCTTTATTTATTTAATTTGCAGTCAAAACAGCCATTGTGCAAGTTGCTCATTTTTCAGCATTTTCAAAAAGGAAACAGAAACAGCTAAATATATATCACATTTCTCAGCATTTATTGTGTCCACTTGTTGCCTTTATTACAGCGCCCATTGTTTTCAGGAGACTCACTTTCAGTTTTTCAGAAGAAATCTGCAGGGATATTTTTCCACACCTCCAAAGTTCAGTCTCAGAAGTTGGTTGCACTTTAAGATTTTGAGGTCTGGGCTCTAATCTAATCTCCTCAGAAATATCTCCTGAAAAATAATTCTAGGTAGTTTCATATGACCCCATGTCCTGTCTTTGTACAAAAACCTGTGTGTGTGTGTGTGGCAGCTGTGTTGCCAGGCTAATGCAAATGCTACATGACTCATTACAGTGGAACAAAACATAATCTGAATCAGAGCTCAAGAATTCCCGCATGAAGTTTTATGCGTAAGAAAATAAGTCATCTTGTCCTTTTCTAACGTGCTGTTATTAAATATGAGATATTATATCATATTATATCATATTACATAACATCATGCACAGATTAACCTTACGCACCCACCTCATGTAAAAAAGAACATGCTTTCAGAGTAAAGGGGGGGCGGGGGGAAGCTTGTTAAGTAACAAGGAAAAAAAACTTTGCAGGCCCCACATTTCAAAATCATTTTGATAAACTTGACAGTAATCCATTCTGGCAGAGTGTTGTAAAGCAAAAAATAGCACTCAAAGAAATTGTATTTTTTTTAGATTTTTAGATTAGTCACTATTTTACCATTAGCAACATTACATGTAGAACTTAAAAGGCACATGTAGGTTCACTGGTTGTTCTGGATAGTAAATAAAATGGCTATATTTGTGTTGTAGACATTTAAACACCTGGTTCCCATCAGCACTGTAAAGAAAGCAGAAGTCAAGAAGTTTCTCTACAATGAACCGCTTCAGAGATGCAAAGTTTTGTCACGAACATGATCATATTTTAATCAAGCTAAACATTCAAGCACTAGCTTAAAATGCTAAAACTAAGCTAACTTTAAAACATCCTGTGAAAAATTAAGGAACAGAGAGTGGTGTTGGGCAACTATGTTGGGTAACAGTCACAGTCCAAACTGCTGTAAAACAAATTACGCTTTCATCGCATAGCATAAATAAAGCATACACTGCACTCATATGTATTTTTTAAGCTACATAATGGTCCAGAAGGAATGCTGAAATTATTGATGAAATGATGATACAGCATAAAGTACAACATTTTGAAGGTGCACGAGGTCAAATTCTTCTGTAATTTTCTAGAAACCACCATTGTTCTTGCTAGTATAGGCTAATCATGAGTCTTGAAGGGGAACTTTGGCTTAAAACTAGAGATTGATATGTTATTTGTCATGTTATGCAGAATTAAGTAGCATAGCATTGTCTCCTTCAGCCTCATCAGTTTTAACAGAATTTAACAGAAGTAATGTTAGCTATCTGGCTTCCTTCTGCATCTAACGGAAAAAAAATCCAGTCATAGTTTTTCCTCCTACTTTCCAGATACAGTATCAGAAGGTTTTTCTAGTCCGTAAACCAGAAAATCTCACTCTGAAGGCTAATTCGGAAGGCTGAAGGCTGTGAAGGCTACTTAAGGCTACTTAACTCCCTAACAGGTCATGGACCTGACATGGAGGCCAACATTTTACACACTTCTATAACCTAAGAATAGCTCAATAATACTGAATAACACCGAATAATACTGAATAATTCTTAATAATAAGGCTTTGTATGCAATAAGCCATGGATTTTAAGGGGTTAAGCACCACTATGGGAGGTGAGTCGGCATGTTTAGAACAGATATAGTAATTGTAATAGAAATGTAAACTGAGGAATGACAACTGACATCATTTAATAACTCATTTACTGTTTATAAGAGGTGATCTATCAAATACAAGAATAAAAATTCTGGAAAACTCTTTCTTAGTGTAAGATTGAGTGCATAGCACCTGATGCCAATATCGCACACATGCTGAGCACTTGCCAAGTGGCAGGCGGTCCATTTGCCAAGCCTTTACTCTGCAGATTGGCGATATTCTTGCTGAGTGTGGGCTTATTCCTGACAAAGAGCATAGCTTGAAGCAATGTTCTTGTTTCTTGAGATAACAGTTGTTTATGTGCTCCTGAACCCACTGGGCCAGGGTCAGCTGCACAGAGCAATGATAAGGTAAGGTCACAGAGGCCACACAAGCAATTCCCAACATACCCAGCAGAAACTGGAAGCAATACACTGAGCTTTTAGGACCACTTTTCCTTTCTTGCTCACTTTCTGTCATTCTGTATTTCCCTCTGTTCTTTCTTCGTGATAAAAAACATACATAAAAAACACAGGATACATTTGGGAATGAATGACCAATGTCAAAATGTTTGAACCTTTTTTCTTTTACTTTAAACTACACTAAAGAATATAACATTAGGACTAAGCTGACTTTTGGAAATGTTGTTATGATTTTGCCTACTAAATTACTAAGTAAGAAGCTTAGGTGTTGATTTGCAGTCAGAAATTATTTAGTGTCAGTTACTAGGACTAATTGGCAGAACTGGTATTGTTTATGAAGCACCTCACATGAATGTTTTGTCTTATTTTTGTTCATTATCATATTGAAGTTAATGTAAATAGAGAATGGTACATCCTGTACAGGAAACAAACTTAAATATGGCACTTAGCTGCAAATGTTAGTGCACAACATTTTCTGATTATTTGAAGTTTAACATATTGGAAAAAATAAAGCATAAAAAGCGCCATAACTTTTGCACGGGCCATATTTTATGTCTTATTGTTTTTTCCAATATGTTGATGTGATGTAAATGTGCATGTAAATGTGTGGAAGTGTGTTCTCTGTAGAGGATGTCTTATCTGAAGAGCCTTCCAACAGGAATGGATTACTGGATCTGTACTGACTGGATCAATGGGGCCAGTGCCCAGGGGCCCTGGGCCTGGTGTGGACTACCAGCCTTGGTAGGCTTCTGACTGCCAGGGGCCTTGGGGTACCTCCAACTGCCAGGAGCCTTGGTGGATCTCTGACTGACAGTGACCTTGGTGGGCCTCTCACTGCCAGGGGCCTTGGGGTACCTCTGACTGCCAGGAGCCTTGGTGGGCCTCTGACTACCAGAGGCCTTGGTGGACCTCTGACTGCCAGGAGCCTTGGTGGGCCTCTGACTGCCAGGAGACTTGGTGGGCCTCTGAATGCCAAGGGCTTTGATGGGCCACTGACTGGCAGAGGCCTTGGTGGGCTTCTTACTGCAAGGATCCTTGGTGAGCCTCTTACTGCCAGGGGTTTTGAGGGGCCACTGACTCGCAGAGGCCTTTGACAGCCAGGGGCCTCTCACCACAAAGCCTGAGAAGCCTCAAATACTCCCTCTGCAGATATAAACGTTATATATGTGCAAATGACTTAATGTATTAAATAAACTAAGAAACATCATCTATTCACATCTACATTATTATTGACAGGATGACTTTTGGGATGTTGTAGACAGTGGTCTCAGCGATTACTCTTCCATGCATGTAGGACTACTTCTGTTTTTACATAATGATTCACGTTGGCTTAGAAGAATTAAAAAAAAAAAATCTTTGATTTTAAATGTCTTTTGACATACAAATCTGATATAAAAAAGCCCAAATTGTTATGATGCAGACACAATGTAGTGTTGCGCAGTAATGGGGCAAGATGTCTTTGTTTTAAAAACAAAAAAGAAACAAAGTGCAGATAAACAGATGTAAACTGTTGCTTCTTGCCTTTCAGGCCTTGTTGAGTTTTTATTTGTTTTGTTTTATTTCCTTTTCAATGATTTTCTTTGATCAATCCCTGCCTTTATAAATTAGATGTGAGAGTAAAGAACCTTTTTAAAGTTTAAAGAAGCTTCACATGATGAAAAGAGTCTTTATTAATTAAAGGGATCTTCCCTCTGGATCCATACATCCAAGCCACCATACAGGAACCTTTATTTTTAAGTGTTGCTACAGACAAGTTAGGGTAAAATAACAGACCATGAGATCTTGACCTGAGAGCTTGACCTGGAACAGTACATGGGTTTGTGGTTGAAGACAAGAAACTCTCAGTATAATTGCCTCTCTAGGGAAGCCTTCAGCTGACCAAAGTGCATGACCACAGGTGTGGACATCTCACCTGCAGAAAGTGGGATCAAACCATGCATTTTCTCTTTTTCTGTAAAGGAACTTACGAGGTACACCTGAAAACTAAAGGCCTTTTCAGAACCTTGGACAGTGACAAACCAAACCTTACTCAGCGTAGGAGTATCAGTCTAGGATCAGATTCATCTCTTATTTGGTATAACTTTACAGACAGGAACAGATGCTGGATCAGGACTCCTACCCTAAGAAGTTTCAGGAATATGGCTCAAAAATGGAGCTGCATTCAAGTTGTGGCTGCATCTGACATAAACTAAAAGAGTGGACCACAAAGGCAATGACTTTTTTTCTTGATGGTTAAATCATCTTACCATCGAATCGCCTGCTTCATAATATAGCTCAAAGAGCAGCACTGCTCAAGGGACCCAGTGCACATTCACTTTCCTGTCTGCTGCGTAAATTAGCACAGCCACATACGCTAACTATTAAATACAGCATCATCAGACTCTCATAACTGATTAGTAACTGCTCTGGTGGGAGATATTCACTATAAAGCATAATTGATGCTTTATTAATGATGGCTGACTGATGATAGCTGACTGTCTTACTTTCCATAAGTCAGAAGGGTGGCCATGATTCTTTCCTGGATGGCACTGGCGGCCCCTTGGCTACGCCTCTGCATAGAGTTGAGCTGTCTTCTCACTGTGAAAGGATGGGCAGGAGATCTGAAGTGAGAGCGAGGCTTGATTTTCTCCTGCCTCTCAAAGATGAAAGCTTTAAGTGCTGTTTATCTGATGGGGACAGTGTTGGTGGCCCACCAGGTCTTGGACAGTTTTTAAAAGTCTCATCTTTCTTGATTGTTTGATCATTTTTTGAACTACAGATTTGTTTATCTTATATCTAACTATGACTTTTGCACAGTACTGTGTATATCTCATCATGCACAAAACAGAAATGATGCACTTGAGACAGGCCCTTTGAGACTGGCTTGCTGGTAAGTGACCTGTAGCAGTTCAATTAAAAAAAAGCTGCAGAAAATGACCAACTGTAAATGGCATACGTACACTGTTTGTTGACCATTAAAAGCAGAAGCGAAAGAAAGCGAAGCCACCAATGGCGAACATCTACTTTGAGCTATTTAAAGAAAGCCAGGCATCCGCTGCACTCAACAGCAGCAGAAAAGAGCAGCTCTTGAGAGGTAGAAGCATGCATGTATTCATGATTACAGCTCTGGCCTACTTACAAATGAATGCACAGAGGTTCCTGCTAACTCCACACGCGCGCTCTCTCCCTCTCGGAGGAACATGGTTGTTGGTGGAAGTGCAGAGGATGGAAGGAAAAATGGAGTGTTGTTGTGCCTTAGACAGGGGTGGGGTGTTTGTAAAGAGCTTTGTTGCTGTCCAAGGTGCTGAAATGGCTGTGAGTTCAGCTGGACATAGGTTCATCCATTGATTATTCAAAAATTCTGTGCAATTTAATGGTTGAGATGTAAAGAAAGTCATTCAGAGCAGTTTGGTGTTAAATGCTTTGTTCTAGAGAAACTTTCAGAGTCAGAATTGTTCACAGTGGTGGTGATGGGAACCAGACGACCAACTTTAAAAGCTCCCTCACAGAAAGTTATTACATGAAGTGGTTAGATAATCGCTTCTTGAATTCTCAGACATTATTTTATGATATTTTGGGCTTAAAATGTATTTTAATCTGTTTATGGCAGAGGGGTACGTGCAGGCAAAATAGTCCCCAAAGAAAACGTATTATTTTCGGATTTATGACTATTTTACCATCATCAGCATCAAATATGAAAACTCAGAAGACACATGTAGGTTCACTTGTGGTTTTGGATAGTAAGTAAAATGGCTATATGTGTGTTGTAGACATGGCAACCTCTGGTTCCTACCACCACCGCTGTAAAGAAATCAGTCTGTAAGCTTCTCTACAATGAACCACTTCACATCAAACCACTCTGAATGACTCTGTTTACATCTCAATAACTGAATTATTCAGAAATTTTGAGAAAATCCCATTTAAGCTGCTGCTGCAGGACAGGGCAGGACAAGGCCACTGACTATGCTCACAGCACAACTGGAAACTCAAATCTACCACCGAGTCCACCAAGGCACTAATACAGAATTCCAATTACAAGCTCTGTGCTCTAGGAGTAGCAATCCAGCCCCGTCCACACGCGTACTCCTTTAAGATGATGTAATTCTTTATAAGCCATTATGCTACTCTCCCCTCCAAACCGCTGAGGCAACATCAGCTGAGGCGTTTTTTTCTCTCGCTCTTTTTTTTCCAGGCACCACCCTGATCGGGAAGGGGCTCGGTGCGCAGTCTCGAGCTCTCCACCTCCACTCCTCTCTTTCCGAGAAAGAAAGGGGGAACGAGCCGTGATGGAAAGCTGGGAGTCGCTCGGATCGTTGGCTTACGCGACTAGCGCGCCGTGCTGGACCATGCTGACCATCACTGATAAGTAATACGCGACTCCTCTCTCTCCTCCAACTTCCATCGCGGATTCTGCTCTTTTGCTCGCCTGTCGTCAGAAGTTGGATACGCGTCGAGGGCTTCAACTTCAGAAGTTGTTGGGGGGACTTTTTTCCTCGCTCGGTGAGGGGAGAGGGTGGAGAGTGAGACACACAATCTCTGCTCGGGCGTGATTTCTGTTCGGACAGCCAGCCGTCCATCTCCGCTCTGGTTTCAGTGAGGAAGCGTGTTGGCCGTAGTTCAGCACGGATATACCGGCTGTACTGTGGAGGTGAGGCAGCTCCAAACTCAGCGCTTCAGAGCTTTCTGCTTCCCGGGAAGCGCTCGATACCCACCCACTTATTTGATAGGGGAAGGGAAGGAGGGGGGAAACTTTTTCTCCCGTTTGAGCGCGCATAGGTGGCTGTCCTGAAGCCCCTTCCCCACCCCCATGACCGAAACGATGGCTCTGAGCGGGAACTGCAGGACTCAGCCCGCGGCCAAAGAGCAGGGCTCCGTCCAGAACAGCTTCCCGGATGTGATCGAGCTGAACGTCGGCGGGCAGGTGTACTATACCCGGCACGCCACGCTCGCCAACAACCCCGGCTCGCTGCTGGGCAAACTGTTCTCGCCCAAGAGCAACGCGTCCAACGACCTCGCCCGAGACCCCAAGGGCCGCTACTTCATCGACCGCGACGGCTTCCTCTTCAGGTACGTGCTGGACTACCTCAGGGACAAGCAGGTGGTCCTGCCCGACCACTTCCCCGAGAAGGGCCGCCTGAGGAAGGAGGCCGAGTACTTCCAGCTGCCCGACCTGGTCAAGCTGCTGACGCCCGAGGAGCCCAAGCCCAGCCCGGAGGAGTGCCTGCACAGCGACTACGAGGACGGCTCACAGGGCAGTGACCAGCGCGCCTGCCCGCCCCCCTCGCTCGTTCCCGCCGACAGGAGGAGCGGCTTCATCACGGTGGGCTACCGGGGCTCGTGCACCGCGGGCAGGGAGAGCCAGACGGACGCCCGCTTCAGGCGCGTGCCCCGCATCATGATCTGCGGCAGGATCGCCCTGGCCAAGGAGGTCTTCGGCGAGACCCTGAACGAGAGCCGGGACCCAGACAGGACGCCCGAGCGCTACACGTCCCGCTTCTACCTGAAGTTCAAGCACCTGGAGCGCTCCTTCGACATGCTCTCCGAGTGCGGCTTCCAGATGGTGGCGTGCAACTCGTCCGTCACGGCCTCGTTCGTCAACCAGCACACCGACGACAAGACGTGGTCGAGCTACACGGAGTACGTCTTTTACCGTAAGTAGCGTCTTTACATTATTTGGACAGTTTCACTCCTGGAAGTGCTGCTCGGATTTGGGGAAACTGCATTCCCTCCGCTGACCACCAGAGGGGGCGCTTGGTTTGTGGTCCCATACGGAAATCTGCTATATAACAAAATGCATACATTTATCATACAGGGTCAGGCACATATTTAAAATATAGATCGTACATATGTCTGATAGTTGAATACAGTTGTTATGTTATTTTTTCACTTTTAAATCTCAATTATTTAAGTGTGTCAGGAATATTTTCATTCATTTCATGTTTTAATGCTTTTACTGCATAGCTTATAATGTGCAAGCATGTAGAGTTTAGTTTATGTAGCTGTTATACTAAGGTTCACTTCATTAGAAAGTATGTGGAAGAAACAGAGATGTATAAAAGCCTTATATTATATAACATACACTAGCATATGAGTAGTATATGCCATCCATATATGAATTACCTTTACTATCATATATTGTTTGTGTGTGTTGATATATGGCTGAAATATTTGTCCCATTTTTGAAAATGGCCAATTTCAAATAAGTTAGCATAAATGCCACACGTATTTCTATATGTGACACATTTAAGTTGGATTTAAGGAAAATTCTTATATACTAATATATGTCATATATTTAAATCCATTTATTCCAATATATATCAGATTTCTGTATGGAATGGGCCTCGTACCCATGAGGCATGGACTACTACATGTTTTCAACACCATTTTCTTCATTTTTACATGAGCTGAAGTCTTACAGTGGATGGCATGGTGTTTTTAACTTTTTTTCAGACAATATTCTTGGTCCTACTAAATGTGGAAACACATGACGCAGAGCGACTAATGGTGTCACATCCGCTCTTTAGTGCTCTGTGGTTTCATAGCAGCAGTAGGACTATTTAAAGACACACATATCAAGCACCTGGAGAACACATAATAAACAGCCCTTTTCTACATGTATTACATGGGCAGAGCCAAGTTATACTGTGGACTATTGCATTACTTTTGAAAAACTACAAGCACTTTGGGGCAGTTTCTTGAGGGCTACAACTGCTTTGAGGTTGTTTTCCTTTTTTAACCTATTAGCTGGTGAATGTAGAAGGAAGGCAGGTAGCTAATATTACCTGCTACGACGCAAAATATCTTATTACAGCTGTTTAACTACATTAATTGTCTTCAAAACATGTTTATAATGAAGAGAATGGATCCATCAACGAATAGAAATGACTCATCAGATGAAGTGGACAAGCTAAAAGCTAAAGCAATGTAGCTAACTTGCTATCTAGATACTTTACCTCAGTTTGGCTTCTTTTCTGTGGATGAAAGGGTAAATACTTGTCTCTGGCACCCGTTTTGTACTAAAAAACCATAGAAAGACTCTTTTCTTTTTGTTTTTCTTCCACAACTGAGGTACGAGTTCCATTACTTCTAGCTTTGTTGTATTTATTAGCCTATAGCTTAGTAGCTAGGCTAGTAGGAAGGGTGGGCTGACACTACAGGGATTCCCAATGGTTGTACCTTGTAGTAAGAGAACACTGGCAAAAGAAAACTTGAATATAATATAAAATGGTAAATTCTCTCAAAATGATGAGGCTTAGTGAAACAGTGCTGTGCTACAGAATAATACCTAACACAACAAACATATTAAACTCTTTTTTTTTAAGTTATGTTGCTGCCCTTTGAAAGCACACAGGCTGACAGACGCCATGACTTCACAAAAACTATATAGAGAAAAATCTTCTCATGTTCATAGCCATTTTAGCCCCTTTACACAGCTGATAATGTCCTAGCTCTGACTCTCACACAAGACACTTGAAAATTCTTTACATAAAGCTTTTAACTCTCTCTCTCTGAGACAAGCCTGCCCTCCACTCTGAATCGCAGTCAGCCATCTCGCTGAAGTGGCAAAGGATGATGGCTTTTTGTAATGGCTCTCATAATATTTTATGGCGCAACAAAGCACCACCCTCTAATGCGCTGCTTGGCCCCACCACGAGGTAAAATGGAAGAAGCTCATAATGGGACCTATAGTGGGCCCATTAAAGAAATTACGGCTGTCATCCACCAGAGGGTTTTTACGTTTCATGTGATGAGGCCTGTTCCGCAGACATTTTAGCAGCATAATTTGCAATCCTAGATGCTGGACGATCTCCAGTGATTGGCGATGCCTTATGTTTTTACAAGTATTTGATTGTATCTGATTAATGTGTAGGAAACAGTGACATCTCCACTCACCTTTTTTCTAGCGCTTAAAGAACAATTCAACAGAATTTTCAAAATGTCTGCATAATTAATCCCTCATGGCCAGGGCCCACTGGTGGGCCCAAAGTTTTATTACACTCCACTATAACCTATAAAAAAAGCTCAACCAGTTTACATTGAAGTCCCTGTAGTTCCTGAATAATAAGTCTTGTATGTAATAAGCCTGGTATTTTAAGGGGATAAATTGTTGAAATGTAAAGAAAGTCATTCAGAGTGTTTTGTCTGTTCTAGTGAAACCTACTGAATCAGAATTGTTCACAGTGGTCGTGATGGGAACCAGACATTTACAAGATTTCAATGCCTCTAAAAGCAACATCACAGAAAGAGTATTACATGAAATAGATACAATTGTGCTGCCTGATGCCTGAGGCATCGTTTTATGATAACTTTTTTCAAACACATTCATGGTGCATGCAGGGCAACGCAAGGCAAAACAGTCCCCAAAGAAAACCTTTATTAACCTTTATCGACGTTCCATTTAAAAACTCAGAAGACACATGTAGGTTCACTGGTCATTTTGGATAGTGAATAAAATGGCTGTATTGGGTTTGTAAACATTGTGACCCCTGGTTCCTGTCACCACCATTGTAAATGAATTTGAGTAATTTCAGTAAATGTCTCTACAGTTAAATATCCAATCTCAAACCACTCTGAGTGACTTTGATTACAAATCAAAAGTTGAATTATATAGAAATTTAGAAAGTGGAATTCTCTTCTAGATGAATGCACCTAGTGTGGTTTGTACCAAAGTTTACCTGCATATACAATTTTCAATGACCTTCCACTTACATAGAAATAGTCCAGAAACATTCTGTGAGCAGAACTATACTGTAGTGCTGCAAACAGTCAAGCCACCCTGCCATGTCTTCTATTCATTATTTATAAGGTATAAGCATTTCAATGAAGTTGTATTAATATGGTGCACCACAGTATGTCTGTAACCTTGAACACAGTCTGTACTTATCAATAAATGACTCAGGAAAGTTTGTGGGAGTTGTTGAAGTTAGTGTGCTGTGCCATCGGCTTTGCTGCCAGGCTGCCGCTTTCGCCCCCCCCTGGCAGGGGTGCACCAGTTGCTTTTTCAAGGCTTCACTGCTCCGCTGCGGTGGCTGCCCAGGGTGCATTCCCTGGCAGGCAAATTTATTTACCAATTTGTCGCATGGTTAGAGTGACTGACAATCAATCATTGGCTGTGACAGGCCGAGGACTTGCCGCTGCGTCTGGCGCCGCTGCCCTCGAGCGCGTCATTGGCTGTTTCCAAGGCAGGGTAACCTTTTCTCACCCTCCAGGAAAACAATCCTTCTCTTTTTCCTTCTTCCTAGCCTTGGTGTCAATATCAGCTCAATCTGGGGAAACAGGGAGACGCTTTGAGACACTTTCAAAGATATCACACTGTCCACTATATTAGCTATACAGGTACTGGTATTGATTTCTAGGTTTAGCAGCACTAATCGATAAAGAACTTAAGTTAATGTAATTTGCTGGGACTGTTTTGAAAGTACTGTGAAACTAAATAGCAATTTTCCTTTCTGGACAATATGTGTAAGGTTCCCTTTTGGTGTAACTTTAAAGGGACACTCGGGCCAAGATGATCTGTTGTAAACATGCTTACTCACCTCCTACAGTACCACAGTAGTATCTAGAGTGAGATTTGCCAGTTTAAAGACTAGGATGTCCCCCTTCTGAGGATGTTCACCATATGACAAACAGTACCTGACCATCATACCTATATGAGCTTGTTGGACCTTTCGAAAACTGTGGGTATTAATATGGAGTTAACCCCCCTCCTCTGTGGCTCCCCTCTTCTGGGGAGGCTTTCCACAAGAGTTTGGAGTGGATCTTTGGGAATTTGTGCTCATTCAGTCAAAAAAACATTTGTGAGGTCAGACACTGATGTTGGATGAGAAGGCCTGACTTGCACTTCATCCTAAAGCTATTCAGTGGGGTTGAGGTCAGGACTCTGTATAACTCTTTATTGACCTCACTTTTTGCACAGGCGCACAGTCATGCTGGAGCAGGAAAGGGTCTCCCCCAAACTGTCGCCACAAAGGTGGAGGCATATATGTCTAATATAACTTTGTATGCTGTAGCATTAACATCAGCCTTTACTGAAACTAAGGGGTCTATCCCAAACCCTGAAAAACAGCCCCAGACCATTATCCCTCATCCACCAAACTTTACTGCTGGCACTATGCATTCTGGTAGGTGGCGTTCTCCTGGCATCAACCAAACCCAGATTTGTCCATCAGCCTGGCACATTTGTGGCAAAAATCTGTGGAGATTGCACTGCCTTTTGCTTGATTTTATCTGTTGGCAATAGGTTTGGCTGAAACACCTGAACTCAGTAATTAGGGGGGTTGTCTGCATACTTTTGGTCATATAGTGTATCTTGAAGGTGGGAGGGACTTTTGAAAAACTACAGATACTTGAGAAAAGCCTGTTTGAAAAGTTTTTTTTAGCTGGCTTATACAGAAGGAAGCCAGATAGCTAACGTTACTGCTAGGAAGCCGAATATCATGTCTGTATTTATTAGCCTCCACATCAGTGGTTACGCTAGCAGACACTCTTTTTTGTAAGGGACTTCCGAAACTTTACCAAATGTTAGCCGGTACATGACTAGCAAACACAGCTTTGAACAGAACACACATCAAATCATAACATTTTACATTAAAACACAAAAACATTTACTTCATTGCAGAAAATACATGTTTTGTTAGCTGACGTAGCAGAC